CTGGTGGGAAATCCATCTTCTCATTAAGGGGATAATCCACGGTGAGCTCTGATAATGCAGATATGCATTCCCCAATTGTGTCTCTGACCAACGCAAAGCATCTTGGGCGAGATCAGGGGTTCAGCAGGAGAGTTCAAGAGGCTAATAAACCATGCCTCTGATATGAGGAGAGAAGCTACGACGCTCATTTGATTTAAAACTCAATTTTCCTACACCTCGAGGCAGAATATACCGTTTCAGTACACACACTATGCTCCTTCTCCAGAGAATTTACTATCGTACTCTTGGACTAGATATTCACTGCACCAAATATAATGTGCGGTATTCGAATCAATAATTTCAGCAGTAGTTGATTAGATCACAACACGTCAATCGCTAAATCTAAACGAATTTGCGTGATGCTGTCATTCATCATATTATCGTAAGTGAAGTCTGTTGCTTGATAGATAAACAGCCTGTTAGGACTTGCTGTCCAAGTTTGGTCCAGCCATGTGTTTATGTCCGCTCCAAAGGTCATTCTAGGCTGTGTGTAGTTATAACCAGCTGCTCTCTGACTTCCTCGAGCATTAAGAGCCCAGTGATGCAGAAATAAGTGGAAAACATGAGGTGAGATGCATGCTTCTAACTCAATTTTGGAGTGCATCTTTGGTGGGCCTGTTGGCGGGTACGCCAGAGGCTTGGCTCTGTTTTTGGCTCCCTGTCTGCTGCTGACGCTGATGCTGATGTGAGCTTGGCTCCCTTCTTTCATAGATTTCATTATTACTCTCTAATGACTGCTTTGAAAGCCTGTGATAAATTTATTTGCTGGAGCCACTGAGGGATCTCATATTTTACCCATGCAGCTCACAAACTACTTTTCAATCACCAAATCAAAATTGAAATCAAATTAAAAGTGAAAACAGCATAGTGAAAGGATAATCAAGATGATTCTCCGTTTACTGCGGTTGCATCACCAGAAAAACACTTCTTTTTTTCAAAATAGCCTCATTTTACAAGTCACCTAAAGTTAAACAGTTTAGTTTTCCCATTTTTGAATCCATTTTGCTAATCTGCCGGTCTGGTGGGAACACTTTTAGCTTAGCATAGCACAAATAACTGAATTGGATTAGACCATTAGCATCTTGTTCAAAATTAATTTCCCAATTTTAAGCTTGACTCTTTTGCAGTTAAACTACCCTCTTTCACACGTACAAACCTTTCTGGAAAATTACTTGCAATTTTCTGGAAAGGGATCATATGTGAACAGGCCCTTTTTTTTTTAAAATACCGAAAAATTTGTTCTGGTGATTTTATTTTTTTTTTAAAGAGAAGTTATAACATTACCTGTAATTTTCCTGAATGTTGTGCTGTGTGAACACAGAAGGAAAATTGTCTGAAAGAGTGTGTTCACATTTAGAACGTGCTGAGGCGTCTACTCTAGCTAATCAGGGGTGCGTTTGCCAAAATCATCGTTAGCCAACTAAGGTCGCAAGTTCTGTCGTTACAAATATAGTTTGTTGATTTGCCGTTTCCCAAATCCATCGCTTCAACGAACATTCGCAAACTGCGTCGCAAATTGAGCACTTGAAACTACACCTCTGAAGTTGTAGTTAGTTCCTGGCTGTGTTCTATTCCCACTTATCCCCCTATGCCCTATTCATTTAGAACATTCTAACATTCAAAGTTGGAATTATTAAAAATAAAAAGCAGTAAGGTCATCTCTCTTAGGTGTAATTTGCTTTCTAACTATTTTTACAGTTCAGTTTTAGTGATCTTCATGTTTACAATTGTGCTCCCTTCGCAGTGCACTTTAAAAACATTGATATCATTTTGAACACAGCCTCATGGCGAAAGCTATAGGTGACCTTTTATTTAAAAGTGTAATTTATAATACGCCTCTAAAGCTTGTGAAAATAAAAAACATAATATTTTTATAATATATAAAAAAAGATACGGTAAATCTTTTAGTTTATAGTGGGTTATTTATTAAGTATCTATATGACATGGGCCTGCTAGTTAGAACTTTCTGCAGTGGTTTACACGTGTCAAATTGTAAAAGTGGACTTTTCAAAAAAATTTAAAATAAATAAACAATATCCTACATAATAATAATAATAATAATAATAATAATAATAATAATAATAATAATAATAATAATATGATTATTAAATTAAATCTATTTAAATAGCCTCATAAGTTTTTTTATTTCTATGATTTATATATGATATTAAAATATGTGTTAGCTTTTGTAAGTGATATTATGTTTTAAAACAGAATATGTAATGTTCAACTTCTCAATAATATTAGTAAAGTAAAGTAAAGTATGTGTGCCATTTACATATATTTTAATTAATATGGAAAAAAAGTGCATGTTTTACCAAATATAATATTGGATTTTATTTTATTGTGTGTGTGTGTGTGTGTGTGTGTGTGTGTGTGTGTGTGTGTGTGTGTGTGTGTGTGTAAAACATTAAAATTTGCACAAAGAAATGATGGGGTTCTTCTCGAAAGAAGTTGTTTTTACAAAGAAGGCATTTTACGTTATAACTAAGGTGGTTCGGGCGATGGATCTGCGACAGAGAAACTAGGGGGTTTGGCAAACACTCGTGATTACATTGTTCTTTTCCCAAACGATGCATCGTACTATGATATTTCAGCCGTGAGTTATGGCGTTGTTTGGGAAACGCTCCCCAAAACATTAGGACACATTCACATCTGCGCTGTTTGGGAAAATAAAAGCCTTTGAATATTTTTCCAGACACATTCAGCCAACTGTGTAAAAATTATGGATAAAATGCTTATGATAAACCTCTGTTTGTTTAGCTTCAAGCTCTGCTTCAGTTGCTTGACGCGTGCTCTGGTGAGTGCCAGCACACACACATACTATTTATCTTGACATGCAAAAGCATTTCCCCATACATTTTCATCAAAATTGTTCACAGTATTTATCCATCCACAGATTTTGTAATGTAGTCAGATGTAAAAACATTTAGCTGCGGTTAGCGCTTCTGCCTTTGAACTTGTAAAATCTGCCTATTTCTAAAAGTAGTGGAGTGTTCCTTTAAGATCATACATTTCACAAGGCTTTTTTATTAGGCGTTGAGTGGTTGCTCCACATGAGCAGCTCTGAACTTCTCCTTGCAGTAAAGTAAGGTCATGTTCGTATGTAAACAAACAGCACCAGCAGCTCAGCTAAATGACACATAATGAAGCTCTGGGACTTGCGTGGTGTTTGCCCATTAGATATAATGTTTGCTCAGAGTTATCTATTTTCCATTTTATCCACAGAGAAATGATGACTTGGTTTGTATAAACAATTTCAAGTTGTAAATCTCCCTTTCCTCTTGCGGAATAATCTAACATGCACATAGATAGCGTGAGATAAGATCCTTTTATTCACCATTTGATTTATGGGTTTATGCTACTTGTGGGTTTGCTACATGATAAACATATTCATTTAAGCAGGATGAAACAGCTTCAGAGGAAACATTGTAAACTATGTGTTGAAGAATATAAATGGGTGATGGCAATCTTTGTGGTCTGTTTTTGTATTTTATATAAGCTATTATATTTGCTAGAAATGTGCAAAACCACTGATGTGACTACTATTCAGTCACTAGAGGAATGTATGTTTTGCTTTAAGCAATATAAATGCAGGCATCCACAGAGGGTAAATATGTTTCTTTCTAATATTTTCTGTAGATGAATGTCAAATAAAATGTCCAGTGGAAATTCCCCAGCTTCCTTTTACATCATTATCTATTTCACAAAGCAACACTGAGCTTTATTCATCACACAATGAACTGAATCTCTGTATAAGCTGATATTTTCTTCCATTGTGACTCTTCTCCTGGGAATGGGGATCTTTAATTTTCTCTCTCTCTCTCTCTCTCTCTCAGTCTCAGAAATATGTTTTATGACTAGTCTAAGACTAGAGATTACACCTGAAAAGTTAACCTAGAACAAGCAGATTTTTACGTACTAATCAGCCTTTACAAAAACATTCTGTGACTATTAAATCAAACATTGAGGATATGAATTGGTTGTTTTGATATGCACAATATATTATGTTATGCAATGGTTATATATTTATGGATCACAATTCATTGTACAATGTTGTTGTGTTTGTTACGGTTTAAAAATCATTACCACAGTATTCTATTTAAAATAGATCATCATGGATCATCATACATGTAGTATCTTAAATTGAGAACCCTTCATTTCTAAAACATTACTCATCTTCAATGTGTGCCAAATGTTTTCTATTTGAGAAACATAGTAGATATTTTGAAGAATATTTCAACAGCTTTTGACTATTAAGGAAAAGTTAAAGAGGTCCAAAACCACAAGAGACCCCACTGACCTCCACTACATTAACAAAAAAAAAAACACACAGAGACATTATCCAAATATCAGGTTGCAGAAAAGAATGACATTAAGTAGAGTAAATGATGAACGGATATGTATTATTGCGTGAACTATCCCTTTAACCTCTGTGAACCCTAGCACAGACTATTAGATTAGCATTAACAGATTATTTCCATCACTGTAACCCTAATGAACAGCAGAACAGCATCACAGCAGGAGACGACTTTGATGAAAGTTCCCATATAAATAGCATGTCCATAACCAGCTGATTTGAGGGATATCATGCTCGAGCACGCTGGCCTGGCAAAATGAGCAGGTGTTTGGTATGCAAAACGCATATATAGTACACAAACACCATTACCATATGGAATGCAAAACGTGAGCTTTGTAGAGGATAAGGGCATCGCTGCATACTTAGAGGGGTCGCACAATGTTTCTGTGCTGTCCTCATTTATCTATCATTACTCTGGAAATCCCTTGTAGTCATTGTGGGGGTGGGAGAGAGAGGGCTAAATTTAGATCACAGGAAGAAGTCCCTTGTTAAATCTGAAGTAATATAAATAGCAAAGAATCTTGTCATACAGTAAGATTTATGCAACACTAAGAGAAGATTCAACAAGCTACAATAACTGATGTCAAATTTAATAACTTACCATTGGGAAGCTTGTGACTGTTTTCCTCCAGCCAAGTGAACAGGTTGGCAAAATTGCAGTTGCACACCCAAGGGTTGCCCTCTAACCTTACTACCCGAAGGGAGGGCAGCTGGCTCAGGGCGCCCACCTGTAACCCGGACAGGGCATTTCGTTCTAGTTCTAGTTCACGCAAAGAAGTAAGACCCATGAAAGCATCTTCATTCACCATGCTCAAGTATGGGTTGTTGCCCAAGCGCAACTTAATTAGGCTTCTTGACTCTCCAAAAGTCCCTTTGGGGATCTCCGTCAGGTTGTTGCAGCCGAGGTCCAGAAAAACCAGCCTGGAGGAAGTGCTAAGAGTCCCTGGCTCAATGTTTGAAAGTGAGTTGTTGCGAAGGTCCAAGTAGACCAGGTCGCTGTAAAGCACAAGGAAGTCCGAAGGAATCCGGGGGATCCAGTTGTCCGCCAAAAGCAGCCTCCGCACATCCAAGGGGATCTCGTCTGGAAGACGGGTAAGTCCGCGCCCACTACAGTCCACAGTGTGAGGGTCTGGGCAAAGGCAAATGGCTGGACAGTTTTCCCCTTGAGTCAACAAAGTGAAGGAGAGCAAGGTGAGGACAGGCTGGAGCCGGTAGACACATGGCAACATGGTCAATAAAGAAATGGAAAAGAGAGGAAATAGGGTCAGGGGTGAAGGGGATGAGGGTCAGAGGGCAGGAGATGAGGAAAGGGGAGGGGAAGGGGAAGTCGAGAAGAGAAATAGAGGAATCAGTGCCAGCGCAGGAGCATCCTGCCGTCCTGGGCAAGAAATCTCAAGACTTGCACATGGAGCTGCTCGAGAAAGACGTGCACGCTGTTTTCCGAGAGATCATGTAGCAAGCAGCCCTGGAGTGAGGAGCAGACTGCTGGCTTTGAAGGCACGAGGGGAGGAGAGATAGCGAGCTGTGGGAGGGAGTGCCAAAGCATGAGAGACAGAGGGAAAGGGGTGGAGAAATCAGCAGACAGAGGTAAACAGAGACCAGAAAGGCAGAATGAGTGGAAAATCGGAGGCACGGACAGATTGGCAGCGTGGAAGAGGAGGGGGCTCTTCCAGCCGCTCTCTCGCAATTAACCCGCGCTTGGTCGAATCCTGGCAGTCTGACACAAAAGGATTCAGCATAGAGAGGCTCGGTCATGGTGAGCAAAGAGTAAAATTGTTGCATCCCTCCATTTGTCTCTCAGCTGAGCGCTGGAATGACTGCTTGACTGGCGGCTGTGAACATGACCCTTGGCACTTCGGAGCCGTTGTAACTGAGCTGTCATGGTCCTAATGAGGAGAATTCCCACAGAGAATGAGGTGCAGCGGTGTCCTCTTCACCGCTCTCTTTTTCCTCTTCTTGTCTTCCTTTGGTCTGGCTCCCGCGCGCTGTACGATGCTCAGGCACGACTCTGTCTGATGAGAGGTTGTACAGCACGGTTTCGCAGCTCTGTTGCTATGGTGAGGAAATCCAAATATCCACACAGAAGTTGTCTGCATGCAGATTAGAGACCAGCGTGGGGAACGGGGGAAGTCTACCAGCATGCTGGCTCATGGACTCCAGTGCTTTTGTCCTGTGTTGTCTTTGCTGTATAATATGGAGGGATGAGTCGAGCATGCACTCAACACGTGATGTCATTTCCTAGTGAGATAAATGGTCACACAATTACAACAGATTCTACATGCATTCATGTTTTTGTGCATTTGTATTATTATATCCTCCTCCACAATTTTAAAATCTATCCTGTATATCAACAAATCTAGAAAAACATTTGGTCCAACATAACAGGTTTTAGTAATTCTCTCAGCTTGACCTTCATTTGACATAAATCGATATCAAACCAGTCCCTGATTTTTTTTTCAAAGCAAAACCCACACTTATCATGTTTTATTGTATTTTACTAAGCAGATGTCAGTGCCACAGTTAATTAGGGAACTTTCTAGAAGCAAAGGGCACGTCTTCTTTCATTTTGCTTTCGTCAGGCAGTTCACTCAATCATTGCTGCTTAGTAAAGGACAGTGGGGAGGAGCTAGACAGAGTCACACTTGCACACAGCTCCATCAGCATCCCCAGACAGGTAAATGGAATTAGGAGAGCAGAATTTGGTCACGACATTAAGAAAATAGAAAAATTACATTAATCGTATATGTGTAACATGGCACAATGGGGTCACAGTGATATCAGTTTGCAATCTAACAGCTTATTTCGATAAGCCGTGACCTAGAGTGAATACTGTAATTTAAAGCTCACTGCTTAGTGCACTCGACCAGAATAAAGGCAGGCTTTAAAACTGACACTGAGAAAGACATGCTCTCTCTGCCAGATTCGCCTTGAACACAATGATCTTAGCTACCTTTTTCTTTTGCACAAAAAAGAAGATTAAAATATGTCATATTGAAATGTATTGCATGTGGTCATCCATCTACATTTATGTTTTTTTTTTTTACATATATAGTTGAAGTTAGAATAATTAGCCCCCTTGAATTATTGCCCCCATTTATTTATCCCCCAATTTCTGTTTAATGGAGAGAAGATTTTTTTCAACACATTTCTAAACATAATAGTTTTTATAACTCATTTCTAATAACTGATTTATTTTATCTTTGCCATGATGACAGTAAATAATATTTTATTAGATCATTTTCGAGACACTTCTAGACAGCTTAAAGTGACATTTAAAGGCCTAACTAGGTTAATTAGGTTAACTAGGCAGGTTAGGGTAATTAGGCAAATTATTGTATAATGATGGTTTGTTTTGTAGACTATCGAAAAAATATATAGCTTAAAGGGGCTAATAATTTTGACCTTAAAATAGTTTTCAAAAAATTTAAAACTGCTTTTATACTAGCCGAAATAAAACAAATAAGACTTTCTCCAGAGGATAATATATCATCAGAAATACTGTGAAAATTTCCTGCTATGTTCATCATTTGGGAAATAATTTTAAAAATTAAAATTAAAAGGGGGCTAATAATTCTGACTTCAACTGTATGTTTGTCTGTGTTCAAAACCTTAAACCAGAAATCCCATATCAATGAATTCTGTTTTAATATGAAAATACATCTATTTTAATTAGATTTATTAGATTTTTTTAATAACATTAAATAGTTTATACTAGTTAAAAGCAGTTCAAATGAATGATTAGGATTTAGCCCTGTTTTATTATACTTAATTTCATTTCCTGTTTATCCATTTTACCTTGGGGGTGTGATGATTCACATCAAGGATATTTTGAGCAAAACCATTTTATTTAGATTTTAAAAAAAGATTTTCTTTAATTCAAGTTGAACTTTATTGCCATTCAGCTACATGTGTGGAAATACAGCGGAACAAAATAGTTATGTTTCACAGGACCACAGTACTACATAAATAAACAATCATAAATATGAACATAACACTGAACGTAAGAGCTGTTTTAAACCTATACATAACTAACATACCGGAGAGGAATGCATATATTGTCACGGTCACCAGCAATCCAGCCAGTGCAGATCACTGAAGAACTACAAATCTGTCACTTTAATAAACTACAAATGCCATCATGCACTTCAACTGGTCCAGATCCCCCATGATTGCAAACACACACAGCTGAGGCTGTTCAGAACTAATTACACAGACTATGTATACACCTTTAAAACACACACATGTTGCTGAGTCTTGTTTGGTTAACACCCTGTAACATTTTGAAGTGTTCCATCGTCTTGCCTTGCCCTGTTTTCTGACCCTCGCCTTGTTAATTGTTTTATGTTGTTTGTCGCTTGATCTGATCTCTTTGCCTGTGACCCTGACTACTTTTTTGCATAACCTTGATGCTCCTGCTCTGCTCTTGTGTTGACCATACCTGCCTCACCATTCTCTTTTGAATAAAGAACTGCAAGTCGATCCTCAACGTTGTAAGCGTCCCCATCAGTTACAACTATACATCCTTAAACTATACACATAACCTAAGACAGACTATACAAATATGACATAACAATAAGACATAACAGTATTGTGCAATATATTGTATAACAGTATTTTGCAAGATATTGTGCAAAGGACAAAACAAGTAGTGCAACATAATCTGTGGTACATTCTTAGGTAAACATTGTTTTCCTTATTGAGTCTTTGTAAGGTGGAGTTTAAGTAAAGTGTCCAGTGTATTCGGAGAGAGAGGTGGTTTCTTCAGGTGGTTTGTGAAGCACACTCAGAAATGCACTCTGTATTACAGACATATGAAGTGATTTTAAGAAAGGGTCTAATGCAAGTGTCTGTCGAAGTATCGAAAAGATGAATGAGTGTGTTTTCTACAAGTGGTTTGTCCTGCCCACTCACACGTGTGAGGCACATTCAGAATTGCATAATTTTTAGAGGTATTTTTGTGGTCTGGTGTGGAGAGTAATCTGAGCAGTTCAAAACTTTGCCTAAATTTGCCTTCTAAACACACAATATGACCACTAGGAAGTCAATGGGAAATACTGAAAGTTTTTTTTATTTGTCTAATAAAAATCAATAAATGCAACACAACACAGATTAAACGTATACCTAAATGAAGGTCTGAGCACAGCAAACAACTTTGTGTTTAATAGACGTCTTATATACATCTAAACGTAGACAATTTGGCTATAACAAATGAAAATCTGTAAAAATCTAATAGACATCTAAACAGACAATTTGACAAGAATAGGCCAAAACTAGACTAGTCGTCAAATAGAGTGATAGGACAGACTTTATATGTGTAGTCATTCATTTCTGTTTGTTTGATGACTAGTCTAGTTTTGGCCCACTCTTAGACGTCTATTAGATTTTCACTGACAACCCAAATTTAGCCTTGTTTTAGCCTATGTTTAGATGTCTATTAATCATTAGACTTCTTTAAAAAACACACACACACACACACACACACACAAACACACACACACACACCAAAAATTCAAAACTTGGCTACTTTGCCACTTGAGCAAACAGAAAAATGAGGGCTTGATTCAGCAAAGTTAAGTCCACTTCAAGTCCAACTCCATAATTCGTCCCATAGGAAATGAATAGGGAACACTTAAATAAACACATTTTTTATTTGTATTTTTAGATGGATATAAGTAATAATAATTGGAAAAACAAAGAAATCGATATATGTTATTTTTTTCAAAGACAATGATATGACATTTGTTTAAAAAAATCACACTTAAAGGGTTGCAGTAAGGTATGCTTGAGGATTAATGCAAATGTAATCCTTTTATCACAATACATTTGTAAGACATGGTTTCTGATTTGGATGAATGTGCAAATGAATAAGATATAAATGTATATAGCATTCAGCATTCATTATCTACAGAATAAAATGCTTCCTGTGCCCACTTGGAAATGTAAAAAGGATCTAAGACACGAAGCAGATTGGATCCTGCAATGCAAGAAAATTGAAGATGTATCTAGAACATTCCTTACATCTTCCTAATGGTGCGCATTCCCAAAGGTAAAGTTCTCTATTGAAGTTCCATAGTTAACTTTGCATGTGTAAAATTAAGTCTCCTCTCGGTTCATCCCCACAGACACCAGACCCGGTCCAAGAACGGAAGCCTTTTGAAGGATCACTCAAATTATCTTTGGAATGAGGCCATATTACCATAAAACTGCACAATTAATTAGATGCACATGGAAAATATGCAGGGGGCATGTGTATCTGTGACAGGGGAATGCAATCATGATTTTCCATTCTCTGTGAATAAATACCGAACTTTATATGGGACAAAAACACTGTTATTTATGACAGGGCATATTAAAAAAAGAAGATGGAAGGATTTTTTTTGGTAGGACAATGTTAGAGAGGGAACAAAGCAAATCTGTTTCTCATCATTGCTTTCTGCTACAACTGCTATTTTGGCACAGAAACAAGTATAGTCAACAACATTAATAGTTCTGTAACTTTCCATTGCACCACAAACTACAACAAGCAAGAGTTTCTAAACACACTAATGCACCTATATTAAATTTTGTCTTCAACTTTACAGCTCACGTAGACCAAGAAACAAAAACATGACAATAAAAATCTGAAACAACACACACTGCAAAACTTCATTTATTCATTCATTCCTTCATTTATTTTCCTTCGGCTTAGTTTCTTATTTATCAGGGGTTGAACAGCAGAGTGAACTGCCAACTATTTCAGCATGTGTTATGCAGCGGATGCCCTTCTGGCTGCAACCCATTACTGGGAAACACCCATGCACTCTCGCATTCACACACATACACTCCAGCCAAAATAGTTCGTCCAATTCAATTATAGTGCAAGTCTTTGGACTGTGGGGGAAACCAGAGCGCCCAGAGGTTATTTTTTTTCCTTTATTTTTTTACAAGAAGAAATATTTCTTTTGGCTGACATGGTTTGCACAATATTACAGAATTGCCAGTCTGCTCAGGAGTGCAGACAGCTGTAAATGTGGCCTCCGAGGCTTATAAAACCAGCCTCGACCTCTCAGATCGATTGAACTTGATTGTGTGTCCATCATACAAATTAGGCATGTTCACACTTCAGTTTTATTTGGTCTTTACACTCCTAAAAACAAGATTTTGGAAGGCGGTTTTGGGGTAATGCAAAAGAAGAACCATTTTTGGTTTCTCAAAGCACTTTTCAGAGAACAGTTTTTCAAAAACAAACAATAAAAGCCTTTTTCTTAGCGTGAAGAACACTTGATTTTAAAGAGAGTAGGGATAGATTTTACTCAGACCTAAATGTGTCATGTAATGAAGCAACAAACAAACTCTGGAATCTGAAGAAAAAGGCCCACCTTTTGTTTGATGGGCTGAACACCATGGCAAGGAATCTGTATTCTGTATCGGCCGATCACAATGACAAGAAATCGGTATTCTGTATTGGCCGATCATCATGACAAGGAATCTGTACTACATATCGGCCAACCACCATGACAAGGAATCAGTACTCTTTATGCGCCGATCAGAATGACAAGGAATCAGTACTCGATATCGGATGATCACCATGACAAGGAATCTGTATTTTGTATCGCCAATCACAATGACAAGGAAACGGTGTTCTGTATCGACCGATCACCATGACAATACATGTACTCGGTATTGGCTGCAAAAATCCTGATCGGAGCATACCTAGTTTTAAGTAAATCATTTTTATTGAAATGAACCACCAACCCAGTGGACCTTTTGTTTTGTTCATGCATCGCTAAAGGGCAAGTCAACCAGCAAAAGCCAGTATGAGGCCATGAATGAGCTGGTTTGGGTCGGTATGGGAAAGCCAGCTGCTGAAAGGAAGCAAGCTGAAAGCTCCCCAGATGCAATTAAAGCCCTGTGCATCAATAAGTAATGAATGTCAAGTGCAGCATGTTGTTTGGCTCAGCAGGGTGCCAGTGGCCCATGGAGGCGGATGTCCAGTGCGGGACAAGTGGGGGGGGACATAGAAACAACAGGTGTTGGCGGATGTTGCCCTTTTATTCTTAGACTCAAGCCGCTTTAAGGGTTATCTCACAATTGTTAGCGATAAGCATCTGGACCGAGCGAACTGGTCCTGGAATAGAGCAAAAGGCCAACGTTTTCCCAGAGGAAGGTCGAAAAAAAGAGGCTTTGGAAATACTTGAAATGTCACCTCCCTTTGAGGAATGTGTGCTGGACATTTAAAACACTCAGGCAGCTGTCGAGACTAAAGCTGTGGGTAGAAAGAAAAGATGGCAAGTTTGCGCCAAGTCAGAATAGCGCTTAGATATCAAGGATGAATGTGTTATCGCGGAGAAGAGCAGGTGATGGAAGCGGACACATCTGATCCTGAGCCGTGATAATGTTGATTCACACAAGTACGCTGCGTTACATAACTCTTCAGCTACACACTATAAACAAGCGATGTATTACCAAGCAAAAGTGAGAGCTTCTAAAAATAAATCTGACATGTTGGTGTGAATAAGAACCTGTAAGTCACATGAGATGTATATCATGCGTCGACATTAATGGATAGAGCTGCATAAATATATCCCTGTTACAAATTCCGAAAGATCCATTATCATTCTCCATTTACTCATGGTGGATATAAAACAGCAATAACCTTATGACCTACAGCCGATGTACCAATGTCACATCAAGCGTAATTTGCCTAAAAAGATTTACTGCGTTTACCAGGGCCTTGTTCTTGAAAGCTTTTGGAAGAGTCGTGTGCCTCAAGGTCAGATGTGCATTGTGAAAATGAGCACAGACAGGAGCAGATACAATGAGGAAACAGAACAGTCCTGATAAGATTTATTAGGATTGTCAGTGAGCCGACTTTTTAAAGGGATACAACACCTGAAAATGACAATTCTGTTATCATTTATCAATTTCATGTCATTGCAAATCTGTTTATTACAGTATGTGGAGCCAAATGGAGAAATGTACTATTTGTTCTTTTCCAAGCAGTTAGTTCTGAGGGGTTTAGGCTAAATTATAGTGTTGTCATGTAATAATGTTCAAAAGATAAAGATTAAAAAGAAAAACTCATGAACACCAAGGCAGATTTTACTTGGTTTACTTGATTTACCCAGATTTTACTTTAAAAATATTTAATTTAAATATTTATTTTGATGAAAATTGAGGTGATAAACAGTTTACTATTAGACTTTATTTGTAATGATTTTTTTGTAATGACTCCAATTTTCAAAGTCACATGGTTTTTCAGAAATCATTGTAAAATAGTTATAATTTTTATTATCATCAGTTGAAAACCATTTTGCTGCTTTTCTTATGCAAATTCAGTCTAAATATCTGTAAAAAAAATTGGTGTATTGGGCAGAAGCATGGATGAAACAATTACTAAGAGGTTTTGTTTTGTATTTATTTTTTGTTTTTATTATTATTATCATTATTATTCTCATTATTATTATTATTATTAATATATTTGCCCTTGTAACCTTAAATCAAGTGGCACGGTGACTCAGGGGTCAGCAATGTCAGCTCACAGCAAGAAGGTCACTGGTTTGAGTCCCAGCTGCATGTTATTCCCATGTTAATGTGGGCAATAAGGTAGCATTCAGAGAAACAAAAGACCTGGGAAGAAACTCAACACAGAGGAACATAAACACCAGCTAACGTTTCTGAAGTGTTATTGCAGAGCAACACAAACAGCATACAGAAGTATAAATGCACAACTACACGCAAGGCAGGCAGCATTGTCACACTAATCACTCGATGCAGAAGTATAAATCAGCCTTAACTCACCTGTGTGTTTCTTTTGTCTCTACTGAAAGGGTCAAAAGTAACAGTGCAATATATGTTTGAAGGTAAATTACTTTAAAGTTGTTCTAGATTTGTTCAAAACACCACCCGATATTGATAGACCACACTTATGAGTTAGTGACCACAGAAAAAATATATTTCTGTCAAAAACATTATCTTTTAAAATAGGTTTTATTGTACTTTTGTCCCCGCTCTCCCTTACTCTACTTTGCAACAGGTAAGAAAAATCATGAAATGAAAATCAAAATGATTTCATCTCAACTATAAAGCTATCAGCACGTATATCTGAAGCTAATAAATATATATTGTGAGCGAAATTAGACTTTTTTTATCTTCCAGCTTCAACCCTAGCATCAAGAACAGAGTCTACAGTAGTTCTGGACACATAGTGGGAGGAAATGAAAAGTATGGATTGTGAGGGCATTACATCGATTGTGTTGTGGTGGGGACTCACTGTTTTCCTCTTTTTAACTGTGTCACGTCTCAGCAGGAGGAATGGGTGCGAATCCGCGAATCGCTTGCCTCCCTCCCCCACAGGAACACCGTGAGGCGACAATGACACAATACGCCTTGAGACAAAAAGTAAAAAAAAAAATAAAAAAAAAAGGAGAGAAGATAAAACAAACAGGGCGAGCTAGAGGTGACATCCATTTAGTTTTTCATTCCCTAATCACGTTGTTTGCCACCTGCCCTTGCCGCCCGTCCTCATCCCCGAGTCTGGCTTCGGTTTTGCTAGTCGACAGCATTAGCGTCTCAGCATCCTTCACACCCGTGCTATTACAGGAGGCGTTTATGTGAGCATGACAGCCAAATGATGACAGGGCTATCAAAGTGAGCTCCATGTTTTTCTCCGCTTCAGCAGATGTCAAGTATTCTGCCTTGTGAAGAGGGATCTCACGATTATGGTTGCTTTATGCTAACGACAACATTTTATGAACAAAGTCATAGGTTTGCATGTTTGATTGTTTAAGCCACAACCTGTTTGAAAGTGTTAACAGGCTTTGGAGTAATTTTGGATAGTGTCATGGGTGGCACCGGCCCTCCAGTGGACACAGCTGGAATTGCTTTACCAGGGTGCCAATGAAATGTCTTTAGTAAACAAATAATACTTAGAAACAATAATCATACAGTATATGGATTACAATTTGTAATTAAAGGTAGTAATTTAAATTTGTTTACCATAGTAAACAAATAATACTTAGAAACAATAATCATACAGTATATGGATTACAATTTGTAATTAAAGGTAGTTATTTAAAAGCATGTATAATAATATTTAACTATGGTGGTGATATATTATAAAACTGTTGCATTGTTACAATAATATTTTAAAATATATTGTTGATAGAATAAAGCATTTATGATGAAATTATCTGGTAATATACCGTAATAACATTTAGTATTTATAAAGCAACTATTATATTATTTATATGAGCAATATCACATGAGTAGCAGTGATATGGCTGTATATCGGCACTGGTGGGAGGTGTGTATTGGCTCGAGGCTGCAGATCAAGTGCCTTAGTGCCCCCAACAGTGACAATATACAGCCATGTCACACTGCTACGAGTTTGATATTGCATTTATACAACAGTTTGACAGCAAAATCATGTACATAAAAAAAGAAAATCAAACCCTTTTACAAAAAACCCTTTTGTATGAGGAATTACTTTCTACAGCTATTCATTCACATCTGCAACTGACGTCAGAACAGCAGAAACCATTGCTACTTCACCAGCGTCACTTTAGAGCTAGTATTTGAATGATTCTCTAGCGTAATGTCTAAAGTGATGAAAAAGCAGGTGATTTTGCTCACATTTTAAGATTATAAGGCTGAACGGTCTACAGAGATTTCCCAGTATTTCTCTGTTGCAATGGGGATATTACAATAATTAACCCAGAAAAAGCCAAAGAAAACACTACCAGATTACTATGGTGTAAATACAGGACTCCAACATACAAAAGAAAGAAGTTAACCTAGAAAATCAGTAACCAGTTTAATAATGATTTAATCAGGTGTAGTTAAAAAAACGCTGAGTTTTTCTGTATTATGCAGTCTCTGTCGCCATCTTGTGGCAGAGCGTCAACAGTCTTTGCTTTGCTCAGTATGACAGGCTGATGGCCATGAACTCAGTGAATCTTCAAAATTATTAATATTTAAAATAGGCGCTGTCCTTATAAATAAACTGCGTAGTTGCAATATAAACAACTTCTTTCTCACCTAAAAGCCTCAAAAGTATATTATATTGTCCAACAGCTGCAATATTAGTCAAACTGTGGTAAGTTTATTTATCTGCTGTCACTTTATGTGGGCGGAGCAATACACAAGGGTAAAGAGGCTGTACGAGTGATGTTGTTACCTGAATATAGCACATGGCTATCAGCCAGATTGAACAACTAGACAGAACTTGTATACATTTTAATAAATCATAGTATTATTTTGTTATACATTTGTCATATTTTGTTATAATAAATGTATGGATAGAATGGGATATTTATACTAATGTCTAACAATTATCTTTTTAAAAATTTGAATACACTGTGGAAATTCTGGTTTCCACACAATTCATACATGTTAATTATTTAACATGTATTACATTACAATTAATTATTTTTACAAATTTAAGTAGACTGAACATAAAACAATTAATTTGTCCCCTAAAACCCTAAGAATTGTGCCGTTTCAACTCTTTTAAAATACATATTTTAAGCAAGCAGCAAAATATTTTTTTGAGTGTACCCCTATTAAATATTTTTTTACAAATGAACATAGTTAAATATAATTAAATCTTTAATAATAGAAATAATTTCTGTGGCAGTTTTATTTCAATAGATAGTATATATACATACATATATATTTATATATTAAATGATTATTCATTTATTTTATTTTCAGCTTAGTTCCTTTATTAATCAGGGATTGCCACAGAGGAATGAACCGCCAACTTATCCAGCATATGTTTTATGTAGCGGATGCCCTTCCAGCCGCAACCCAGCACTGGAGCACCCAGCCGCAACAAAACTGGAGCACCCAGAGGAAACCCATGCAAACACAGGGGGAACATGAAAACTCCACACAGAAATGCCAACTGACCCAGCCGGGGCTCAAACCAATGACTTAACTGCTGTGAGACGACCGCGATACCAACTGCGTCACCATGTCACCCTTTTAAATTTTTAAGAACATTTAATTTTATTAAATGTTTTCAATTAAACTCAAGTGGATGTTCTGTATTCAACAGAATTCAATGCCAAGAGTACTATACTATGAAGGCAAAATCAAGACTTTTGGTTGCATGAGTGAGCATCACTTTTTTTGCAAACCCCTTGTGTTTGCTGTTACATCTCTGTGACAACTCATTCCCAATTAAATTAATAGACTTGTCTGCTGAGAACTGTCTGAAGGTTATTATGCTTCTGAAATATAAATCGCCACACAGCATATTGCAACTGTCAGGATGGCTAATCATAATATCCTCATCTTCAGCTCAATGCAGTGTTGTGAAGGTGTAGCTACAGCATGTATTAAACAACAAAAACACATTATCTGCCTATAGAGTCCAATTAATCTGCTATTAGCCTTGCTGGAATAAGTGGTGAGAGAGTCAAAGAAGCTCATTATACACCAATGTCATTGGCCATAAAGGTGCTCCTCCCCTCTATTAAATGTCAGGATAAATTGTATATCATACTTTATTATGCTAGCAGTTTTATATCATACAGTCAAAGATAAAAGGTCACAAAATACAGGCTGTTCCTGTTAATAGCTGTGCGGCTGAAAGCTGAAGCGACAGAGCGTGAAATGGAGAAAAAGACACCTTTGGATTAGGATTTTTGAGACGGTCGTTTAAGGTATGGAAAGCTGTAGAGTTCAAGTAAGAGACTGTAGATGAATAGAAAAAAAAACTAATAGTAAATACCATACTTGCCCAGTTAATTGATTAAATTAAGAACGTTGAATTACAAGTTTCTTAATATTTAAATATCCAACTGAGGCATTATTTCATTAAGTGAAGTTTTACAAACTAATTTCGAGAGGAGCACGTGATATGATTGACTGCAGCTGGCAACCCATCTACATTTAGTAGTTAGCCAATCAGATTAATCCTAGCTCACTATACGTAGCTTAGCTAGATCTACTCCCTTATCTTCGTGTTCCGAAAAAAAACCCCATCCACCCCTTCTCCCCCTTTCTTCCTTTACCACAGGGGAGCTCTCGAGAACCACCTGATCTCGTACTCCCCTCACATGCTCTACGGACCTGGCGGGAGCCCTGGGCTCAACTATCTCCAAGCTCAGGGTTCTCTCTCGGGACAGCATGCCAAACCTGCTAACAGTTGTCAAACAATATCTAAGTGTGAACTCTTGAAATATGCACTAATCTGCATACATTTCTAACACAAAAATGTTAGCATTAAACAAATCCCACAGTGAAAACCAATATACAGAATACAGATATTATTAAAACTGTGAAGTTTAGTGTAGGTCAGGGGTGACGAACGCAATTTCACTAAAGGCATCTTCAAGATTATTGCAGCCCTCAAAGAGCCTGTATAATATAACTGTATAAATGTTACTACTCCTTAACATGCTGTTAAATACGTGTCTCTTTTGTTTATTATAACATATTAGATCTAAATAATACATGTATTTGCATTATTGTAAAATAGATGTTACTTCTCCAGGGTTATTTTAACATGAATAATTTTATCAAGAAACCCACATAACTCCCTAAAAGTACTTTCAGATATTTTAAATTCAAATATCATCAAAAGTCATTACCTTTCTCTAAAACTTTGTCACATTTGAGAGAAGCAGAACTATGGAACTTTGAATAAATTGAGCTGGATTTCACTATAAACATGCATTATGGGAGATTTTAGTTGGTAAAGCAAGATGGACTTTTATTGCTGGGTTCATAACAAATGTGAAGCACAGCGTCTCACTCATGGTAATCAGCGGGAAGCTTTTTGCCTCACAAATTTTCAGCTTGAGTTTAATAACAAAACTTGCACAGAATACATGATTGAAGTGAATTCTGCACATTTGCGGCAAACACATTGGGAATTTCATGACTTTGTATGCGGTTTACTTAAATGAATAGTTAAAATCACATGAACCACGTGATCTCATGGGCCCAAAAAAATGATATGGCAGGCCTTGAGGTTGACACTTGTGGTGTAAGTGATGCTAAAGTGAAGAATTATGGCTCAGTGCAGAAAAAATAATAATAATTTTGGGAAAACTGCCTTTAAATATATGAACTGTAACTTAAATCTATGAACATTAATTAATAAAGTGCATTTTGGATGTTTCTCTAAATTAGACTGCAAAAAATCAAAAATGCATGAAAAAACAATGGTTTTGCCTGCGTTGTCTGGCCTTGACAACTGATGAGAGCAGACAGCAGTGAGAGTGACGGGAGCATGTGACAGCAGCGAGCAGACAGGTGTCATCACCGGTGCTCATTTCCCATGAAGCCCTGCAGTAAATTCACACTGGTTCAGGCTTAACCTCGTCAGCACTGTGTGTCCCAGAGGTGGTAACTGTGGATGGACATGCGGCTGTAG